AAAACTTCCAGCCTGTGTCCACCCCCAAACTCTATCTCATTCTCCTCGTTCGTCCCCGCGTCTTCTATTTTTCATTCGGGAAATAGATACATCTTACCTGCTGCTTCATCTCTATGACCGCTGTAGTGCTTGGTTAGGTGAGACTTGGGTTATATATACCTGTTTCAGAAAGAAGAAAAGAACTTGACGGTTTCTTGCTTCCGAGCATTTTCACGGACAGCAATGCCAAGGATCATCCCACAAATAATAAAATGTCACTGAGTTTCCGGCACTGTGACCCCCCTCCAGGAACAGTCAACTCCGAATATGAAACTCCGCTAGAATTGCTGCTCTAACCGGTACAGACGTACACACAGAAAAAACTGTCATACAAAATTCAGCCAAGCATTTCTGCTAGTAATTAATCTGAAACAGAGTTCCTATCTCATACTCCTTCCGTCCAAAAATAAGTGTCTTAACTTTGTATTAACTCTAATACAAAGGTGTGCTAACTCTAATACAAAGTTGTACTAAGCTTGAGACACTTATTTTGAGACGGAGGGAGTACATCGCAGTCGACCAATCATCCCGGCGTTACACGCACGGCCTATTGTGAGGGTGTTCTCAACATCACCAACGATTCTGAAAGCCAGATCACGGAAAATTACACTGGCGGAAATATTCTGCGCATGCTAGAGACAGAGGAAACATTTGTGACGTGCAAGGCGTCTGCGACAGGGATGCCACGTACGGGTCTTCTTCTAGCAGATTGCGAGGTTTCGGCTTTTTTGGGAGCCAGAGAATTGCGAGTGATCATCGCTTTAGTTAGTACTAGTACTTAGCACAAATAAAAGCTGGTGCAGAGAGCTGAGTATGTGCATTTGGGAGGGACCAGCCGGCGGCAAATCATTCTGGCCGATGTCCCTACGCATCAAAACTCTTCTTCTTAATTAATGAAAAAGACAAAGCTTTCGCCTCTGTTTCAAAAAAAAAAAAAAACTCTACCTCTTGAAAGGAAAAAATACTCTTCCTCTTTGTTCTTCTTCTCCTTGACAGCTAGTAGACCAGCACGGGTCCAAAAGCATGTGATCTCAGCGTTTGGTGAGCTGTAGCTTTTCATCCTGTGCTGGTACTCTACTCACTTGGGAGTCATATTTTGAGGGGGTGTTGTTTGGCGCGCCACGGCTAGGAGATAGCTCCGGCTGAATCAAAAGGAAATCATCATGAAAGTTGTGAGAGATTTGTTCCAATCAGAAAGTTCCATTTGCTACGGCTACTCTCTTGCTCCATATTCCATCTCCGTGCAAGACAGTATCATGAGACACGTGAACTTTGGCCTAGTTCCAACTTCCAACGCACATTTTTCATGATTCCAAACTAGTAGTACTAGCTAGTTCTTGGACTGGACGGCCACGGAGCCCCGGAAAAGGCGTGCGCCAACTAGCAGTCATGGAACAAACCTAGCAGTCGTTAGACCATGCCAAACCGCTAATACCTTGGATGATGATGCTCCTCGTTGTATATTCTTCTTCTTCTTCTCTTTATTTGTTGGTTGCTATCAACATCTAGAGCCCAACTTGGCAAATCTGACCCCTATACAATGCGTAGACCCAGCCGCGGGCAGTAACCAGTGATCCCTAATTTTTCTTGGCTGCATTCAACTACCTCATATTAGATACCTAAAATCCATACAAAGCATGCAAAATTAAAATTTATGTACTATGTACATTATAGGTAATCTAAGCTAGCATACAGTACTTGTCGTCGCCAAAGATATCAACAACCTCCATGCCGGCAATGCCGGACGGCCCTGCCTCTGGGTGGATGGTCTCCTGCCGCATCTCCGGCTCCTCGTCGGACACTATCTCGGCAAAGATTTTATCGAACTCCGTGCCCCGCTGGCAGAGGAAGCGGCGGTTGGCCTCCACCTCGGCCTCCGACTGGATGGAGTCGAGGATGGCCTACTGGTCGCTGCCTCCTCCGCCTGGGCCACCTCGTACTCCGCCATGGCGAAGCTCGCAACCAAAGGCGTCGGATCCGCTTCGCTTGCGGCCTGTGTCGTCCTCCTCCTCCTCCTCTGGCTCCGCATCCTCCATGGCGGCGTCCTGCTTTGCCTCGACCTCTCCCTCTGCCTCCTTCTCGCCCGACTCCGGCGAGTCCGGAGGCAGGCCGGTTATGATCCGAGCTTCGTGCCACGCCTGAATCTCCTCAAGCAGCTCAAGGCGCCGCTTCCGACGTGAGCATGGTGTATGTCGTCGCCTTCTGTTGGGCCATGGCTATCGGCGGACGACGAGCGAATACAAGGATGGCGACACGGAGAGGAGGGAGATGAACGGAAATGGATGAGGCTAGGGTTGGGGGTCGCCGCCCGGCTTAAATAGCCGGACTTTGGCCCTCGAACGGTGAGCCGGAGGGGTGCCACGCGGCGGCATGAATACGTCCATACCCGTCCCGAAGGAGAAGCGCGTCAAACTGATGGGTTTCTATGTGGGAACCCGTTGTCAACCCAACATGGCGGGCCCGCCTGGCGCGCCCAGCCACCCCATATCTGTTTCAGATTTGGATTGGGTATGAGTGGTGCCGGTCACTCCGAGTGTGTAGGACCGACATGAAGAGCCCGTACATTTCAGTTTTTCTTACCGGTCAGGCGGCTGTAGATGCTCTAAAGCCTTATACAATGTTATAAGTGTTTAGGGAGGTGCTTAGAAAAATAAACCGGATTTTTCTGAAGCACCGGTGCCTATTTATATAGGAGAGACGTCTAATTAAACGTCTGCCATGTATAAATAAGCATCGATGCTTAAGAAAAATCTAGTTTATTTCTGCAAGCACCTCGCATTATATAAGGCGTAACGAAACCAACCAAGATGATTCGTGCATGAGAGGCCCAGAATGGCGCCGATGGAGCATGCGGTGGTTGGCATAATGCAAGCCACGGAAAGTGAAGAAAAAAGAATGGCAATGCTTCCAAAGATCTTCTTTGCCATTCCAGCGGCAGCTCCGGCATTTTTCGAGTTTCTTGGGAAGCGGATTTGACCTGACCCGTTTGCACGGGCGGCCCAAGGAAACTGACACGAGAGCGTCCATTTTCCATGGGTGTAACGGGTGAAAAATCAAGAGCAGCGCAGAAAAAGAAGACGGAGAGGTGAGATTGGAAAGAAAGTTGCACCCATTCCATCCCGGGAAACATGCATCGTGGCCGAGCCTGTTGCGCCAACCACCCGCTGTGCACCCAGACCCATTCAGCGCCGGTGACGAGCAGAGAAACGCTGTGGACGGAAGGGAGCAGTGATGCGTGCCGAATGTACACCGAAACGGGACGGATTCGGTGGCCCCGTGGCTCGGATTTGCACTTGTCCGCGTGCCACAATCAGAATCGAGACGGCAATGAACCAACGATCGGTGCTCGTGGACGACGACGATGATGATGAACCGGGCCTGGGCGTGGGTGGGCAGCGGCGGACGCTCTTTCGCTACCTGAACCGCTGTCTAGGCATTATCTATCTATGCAATGTTTTGGCGCTAGTAGTATTAGATTTAGATGGATGGAGAGCATCTTCGTGCAAGATGTTGCTGACATTTCGCTGTTGGGTGCTCGGCATGCCATGTGCGCCATCTGTCGTGCATCTCTCTCTTTCTCTTTCTCTCCTCTTGAGCAGTAGGACTACGTACGTCCGCTGGAGAAATGTTGAACCAAAATTTTGACTTCTTAATTAACGTATGCATGGTTCAGAGAGGAACAAAAGTTAAAACGCCTACCAAAACAGGGCAAGCCGAAACAAGAATGAAACGCTTGAATTTAATAGCACCACCCACCACTTACTAGTTTGTTGTCTAGTCTAAAATAAAATAAAATAAAATAAACAAATAGTAGAACACAGTGGTTACATATGCCCAACATGCACAAACCACCGCCAATCGAGCCAGCCGGCGTGCCCTGCCCTGCCCTGCCCTCATCTCTCTGATCTACCTCCATGCATTGTCCTAATCCGTCCCCAGTGGCTAACTAACAACTAAGCAAAGCACGATTTGGCCACCACTTTTCCATTATCATACCCCAGCAACCCACAATAATCAAACCAGTTTAGCTTACTCTAATGAGCATAATGTCTTATTACTGCACTAGTATTATATTTAAATCGTACATGATCACCCAAGCTGAGATCAGCATGCAAATCATTAACACGAGGGACAAGCACCACCCCCTTGCTTATATTCAAAAGCCTTCAAACAAACCGGCATGAGCGATGAGCTATATGAAAAGCATTCAGACAAACCGGCCAGCTTGGCCTCACCCCAGGCACCAGCCTAAACAAGTTGGGCTGCTGAGCTATCGCACTGATTAAACATCATTATCGTGCTAACTTCTTTTTTTCATCAAGTTTGGATTGCTTACCACGAGTGTCACGTGGTATTATCGTGCTAACTTGATCGGTGGCAAAAGGAGAGGTGACGGGGCCTTATCAATCACACCGGGAGAGCAGTCATTTATTTATTTTTACCTTCTGTCAAAGTCTTTCGTTGATGACTCGCGTTTTTAAGCGGTTGGTCAGAGGCTGCTCACGAGCTGGCCACAAGAATCAACAAGGATATACTCTAGACATGCATGATTGGATTGGAGCACAAAGGACGACCTTTCTACTAATTAATTAATTCATCTAGAGAAGATTCTTTAGCTGTATATAATCCGGTTTTTCTCTTTCATGTTTCTCTCTCTCATGTTTTTTAGCTTATACAAAATGCTAGTAAGTGCTAGTAGGGTGGAAGATCTCATTGATGCTACTATTCTACATGTAAATTACAATTACATGCTCTATTTAGAACAGTAATAGTAGCAATAACAAAAGAAGAAATTAAAGAGGAAGAAGTGAGAAGAAAAAGGATTGGTCAAGGAGAGCTTTGACCTCCCAATCGAAGAGAGTAACAAGCTACTCTACCTACAACCAGAGAGGTCCGTCTCTATTACGATTATGAGGACGGCCGCCTCTACTTTTCCGCCGGTGGCCGGAGCCGTGATCAGATCACATGACGCTGCACGAGTTGGGGTTCTCGTCGTCGAATAGGCGGTACGAGTCCTGGAGCGGCGGCGGGGGCGGCGGCGACGCGTGCGTCCCGGGCGGGCTGTAGTAGTCCTGGTAGTAGGACTCCGGCGACGCGTGCGGGTACGGCATGTAGAGGTAGGACGGCGACCATTGCTGCATTGGCTGCGCCTGCTGGGAGTAGGCCTGCTGCGCCGGTGGCGGTGGGTGCTGCGTCACCATCATGGAGGAGGAGGAGGAGTACCCGGCCTGCTGCTGCTGCGAGTAGCCCTGCTCCGGCTGCGGCGCGTAGTGGGACACGCTCGCTCTCGGCTGCGCCATGTTGTAGCTCATCACCGGCTGCGGCGCGTTGAATTCCTGGTGCGCGTACCTCGGCGCATGGGCCGGCGCCGGCGCTGGGGCCAGGGACCTATCCGCGTCCTTGGGCTTGCTCTGTTTCTTCTTCGCCTCGCCCTCGTCATCGCCGGCCTCCTTTGCAGCGGCGGCGGGCTCGGTGCCCTTTGCTTTGGGTTTGGGCTCGGCCGCCGCGCCCTCGCCGCCGTCTTTCTTTGCCTCGTCGCTTGGTTTCGCCTCCTCCTTGTCAGCCTTCTTCTCAGACTCTGCTTCCTTCTCCGTCTCAGGCTTCTTCTCCGAGGCCGTCTCCTGCTCCGGCTTCTTCTCCGAGGCCGTCTCCTGCTCCGGCTTCTTGTCTGAGCTGTCGGCCTGCGGCTCCTCCGCCGGCTTCTTGTCGGCCACAGCAGCATCCTTGCTGCCGTCCTCGGCCGGCGCGGGGGCGTCGGCTGGCGCAGGGTCGGGATTCTTGGCAGGCGTGTGTTGCCATGGCAGGGCCTGCTTGCCAGACTTGTTGAGCCTCTTGATGAGCGTCTCGGCGTCCACGGTGCCGGTCACCATCACCTTGTGCAGCTGGGCATCCACCTTCACGTCCTGCACGCCTGAACATCCCAACCAAAACGCGCGACGACCACTTAGCTAGTTATAATTAAGCCGAAAATGCAGCGGCGCGAGGAGAAGGAGGAGGGTGACGCTAGTACCTTCGACGCTCTTGAGCACCTTCCGGACCTTCTTCTTGCAGCCATGGCAGTGGATGGTCACCCTCAGCACGAAGGTCTGCAGATCCATGGGATGGGAGTGCGCTCTGGCCTCTGGGGACTGGTCACCGTCGTCTCGCTTCTTGGTTGGGGAGCAGGATGGGGGCGCGCTCGAGTCTGTGGCTCTGAGGGCGCTGGGAACTCAGGGGAGGCAGCAGATGCGGTGCTCAACTTTATAGAGGGGGATGCGGGGATGGAGTACGACCACAGAGGCCACTGACATGTGGGCCGGGCGGGTGCTCTGCTGCTGCGGCCGTAATGTTTGTTAGTACACAGGCGGCGGCGGCGGCGTATCCGTTCCGTTCCGTTCCGTGGTACTACCAGGCGCCGTCAAAGAATTCTACAGTACCGAGGTTGATATTTGAGAGTGATTTTGATGACAATTTATGTTGGTCGAGCATGGCAATCAGCAAGCACGGCAACTCCACTGCAGCTCTGTTTTTCATCAAAATTTATCATAGTACTGGCATCCACGCGGTAACTAAAGTTGTCATCAAACCGCTGTTCACTGATTATGATTACCTTTTTAAAGACGGTAAGATATATGTTACTATCCAATTCAGACTTTTTCAGAAATAATACGAATAATTTTACATCACCATGTAGCCTATGTACTATAATTTTTAATATTGGTCTTTCGATGAAGCCAATCTGCCAATGCAAATATAGCAGATTTGAAACACTATTGACCGTTGGATATCAACTGCACAACAACAAATTCTGCCACATGTAGTATATAAAATATCTCATGGTTGAGCTTAATCACAATGAACAAACCCCAAAACACAAGCATTTCTCGTTTGTTCTAAAATCTTTCATGCTTACGATCCATATATTTCTCTTCTGAATGAAATGCCACTCTTTTTTTTTACTTCACGATTTGCAGTGCATAATACTGAGAAACATCAAAATGCATGCATTCTTCTTTGTTTTAGAATTTTTTCATGCTTAAATTATCCAAAAAGAAATATTCTAAATGAATTAAGATTTCTTTTCTACTTTACGATTTACCGTACAATGCACAATATGCACAAATTCTCACATCACAAACCTCTTCATTTGTTCTAAACTCTTCCATCCCTAAAGAAAATTATCTTGGGTATATCTCACATGAGTTTCATGTAGCACTAGTGTAGAAAAGCCTAATAGTGGTGTGGCAAAAAGGGCCTTCGTAGCGTTGCCACTCAACACCACCGATATAGCGCTAGTGAGCAGTAACTATGTGCTAATGGCGTGCCACTTGTGCAACACAATTAGAAATATATATCACCACTGACATGCCGTGTTGGTGCCACGCCACCAATTTCATTTTGTGCGTATAAAACTTAGCTAATCATATAGCATTAACAACTAAGCTAGCGGAAGTCATCTTCTGCTCACGAGCTCATTTGAGCTCGCGACGAACAGTAAAATCCAAAAAAAATGTAAACCATTTCAAAAAATGTGAATAGTTTCGGTGCAAACATTCACAAAAATACTCATTGTTTGCAAAATTTCATCATGAGAAAGTATTGGCAAAAAAATCATCACCACGAAATGTTTTCAAAAATAACACTTTTGGAGCATCATTTTTGTTTTTTATATGACTTGTACGAATGTTATTTCGTGATGGAATTTTGTGAGCACTGAGAACTTTTGTCAATGTTTGCAGCCAAAAAAACAAAAGTAAAAAAAAAACAGATTTTACTGTTCACTCGAGCTCATTTGAGCTCGAGCTCAAAAACACCATGTCCCAAAGCTCGGTACTTCATTGATGACCTCACAAGTATAGGGGATCGAAACAGTCTTCGAGGGAACTATTTCACCCAAAGTTATATTATCATTCTTAGATATTTTACAATCATTCTATAACAACTTTCTATCATTTTTGGGACTAACCTATTGACATAGTGCCCAGTGCCAGTTGTTGTTTTTTACTTCGCAGAATATCAGTACCAAACGAAGTCCAAATGCCAAGAAATTGTTTGGAGATTTTTTTGGGCCAGAAGACAACTTGGGAGCCAAGGAAGCACCTAGGGGTGGCCCATGGGGACCACATCCCATCAGGGCGCGCCAGGAGGCCCAAGCGCACCCTCATGGGTTGTAGGGCCCACGAGGGTTTCCTCCACCGCCTCTTCGCTCTATAAATTTCCAGAAATTCCAGAAACCCTATGGGAGCAGACGAAACACAATTCCATCCGCCGCAAGTTCCAGAACTGTTGGGGATATAACTATTGGTATGACCCGCCCAGGAGTGGCCGGGTTATACTTACAAATACTCTTGAAGCCCAAGAACCAGGATAGAGATGGCGGTTCAAGCAAGGGCCCAAAGCCCAGAAGCGACTTAAGGCCCGTAGTGATAAACCGCCATGTATGCGTGACTTGTATCGTAAGGCAAGATTAGTTAAGAGACCGAGCCGGACACTGTTTATGAGCCGGACGGGACTCTGTAGAGCCGCTGGGCGTCGACCTCTGTATATAAAGGGACGACCCGACGGCGGTTCAGGGCAAGTAACATCAACTCGAGAGCTAGGTCAAGTGATTCGCTCCCTAGTTAACGAGTCATAAGCAATCCCACTCAAAATTGGATCGTAGGCTTTTACCTTCACCGTAAGGGGCCGAACCAGTATAAACCTCGTGTCCTTTGTCCCGATTAACCCCTTTAAGCTTCCTAGTTGTGATGACTCCACGACTAAGTCCTTCCACTAGGACATCTGACGTGAAAATTCCACAACAGTTGGCGCCAACCGTGGGGCCAGCGCACGGTGGATTTGAGTTCTTGAAGGGCAGCTTCGAAGGGCTCAAGGGATACGCAGTGGGCCGGATGACCAAGAGTTGTCGCGGCAAGCTCTACATCGACGATGCAGGCTGGGGCCCCGACACCGGCTCAATTGAGTACGGGTACCGAGTCCCCGTCGGTGGAATCCACGTCTTCAACGGCAAGATCGGAGAGCCGAGCCCTGAGCCGGACATCTGCACTGACATCATCGAGACGGCTCAGCGTGCAAGACCTGCCCGGGCTCAATCCTCCGTGAGGCTTGCCTTCGTGGGATGCATCCATGGAGGAGAATTTTCTGAAGGATCTGACTCCGGTGGTGAGACGGCCATCTACTCCGATGATGAGTCGTCCACAGGTGAGAGTTGTATCAACTGCAAGACGGCAGGCTTGGAGGCTGTTTTGATGGCAGTAGTATTCCGGACCCCTTTGAGCCGCCAAGCAGAATTGGAATCTTCACGATAGGTACTCAACCTGCGTTAACTTTATCAACTGCGGTGGCCATGACCTCCAAGACAGCAGCAGCCGGGGCAGGAGGCCATGTGTGCTCGCCGGCTCAGGTGTTGATGGATCTCACTGATAAGTTGATGACCCTATTAACCACCATGGTCAACCCGGTGGATCAAGCTCAGCACGATGCAGAAGTGGCACGGTTAAATCTTAATATAGCACATGCTAAAGAAAACCTGGCAGCAAAAGACGTCAGGATAACTGCTCAGCGGGCGGCTCTAGATGTCCGAGCACAGCAGATTCATTCACAGGCTTTTCAGCTCACGATGGAGCAGAACGCGTCAAATGAGGTTATGAGGATAATGTATCAGAAGGCTCAATCTGGTCTGCCTCCGGTTTATGATCCTAGGAACCTTTTCCAGACACCCAGAGCGGGGCCCAGTAACCCGCCGGGAGTAAATCAGGTCATAGCGCCTGAGATCAACACGCTGATTCATTCGCAATGGGACCCCCACGGCTGAATACTGCTCTGCCCCTTATGTGCCGACACCATCGGGTCATTACTCTAACCCGATGGAGAACATGATCATGACGGCAGCACGACTGGCGGCTCTCCCAGCTGATGGTGACTCACCAGCGGTGGTTGGAACATGAAGAGTCAGAGATCTTCTTCAGACGGCCTTGGCACAACAGGAGGCATATTCTTACAGTAGAGACATGATTCATTCTACCCCACGCCCGAGCCGGAGCAAGAGTTACACCAGGCATTTGGATTCTCCAGCCGTGTCAAGCAATTGCCAGCGCCGTAACCGGCCGCACGGGTACGGCCTGGCTCAGGGTGGGGCTCCTAATGTGCATAATCGGGATAGAGTGCATCAACAAATTGACAGGCGGCTCAACAGGCAGCGGAAATAGCAGCTCAATAGGCGACTCAACAGGCGGCTTCTCAGCCCCTGCCGGTTTATCCAACAGTGTCAGTTGAGGCAGGAATAGTCACCAGAACCGGGGGTGTGCCTTGTTTGGTGCCGACTCTACGCAACAAGCGGTTGCCCAAGGATTTTAAGGGGCCTCGTAAAGTACCGAATTACACGGCCGATTTATAACCCGGAGAGTGGATTGAAAGTTATGAGATGGCCATGGAGTTACTAGAGGTGAGCGATGCTGCGATGGCCAAGTACTTCACCATGATGTTGGATGGAACGACCCGTAATTGGTTGAAGGCATTGCCACCTAATTCCGTTGGTTCGTGGGCAGAATTAAAGGAGAAGTTTATCCAGAATTTTAAAGATACATGCAAACAGTCCATGTCAATTGTGGATTTGACTGGTTGCAAACAACAGGAGGGTGAGTCCACGACCCATTGGGTGCGTCGGGTCAAGGAAATAATACACTCCTCTGATAAGATGGATGCTGGCTCTGTAGTGTCAATGTTAGAGCAAAATTGTCGTTTGGAGCCTCTAAAGATGAAGCTGGGGAGCCTCTAAAGGTCAATTGATGGCGGCTCTGGTTAAATATCCTGCCTCAGATAGTACCAAGGATCTCGAGTCTGATGATGAGAAGGCAGGGAAGGGAAAAAAGAGCAGCAACGCTAAGGGAACTCAGCCTAACCCGGCAAATCAAGGCGGCAACAATAAACGTAAGGCGGGCGGTAACTTAGAGTTTGTGGGTAACACCAATACACAAGGCAAAAATCAGCGGCGTAAGGGGAGGCCACCACCTCGATCTGGCGGGTCAGGCCCTACTCTTGAGCAGTTGTTGAATGAGCCTTGCCCGAAGCATGGCACGGAAGAAAAGCCGTCTACACACCTATGGAAGGATTGCACTAT